CTAGAGTATCCATTCATTGGCCTCTTGCAGGTGTTATGAAATGTTTCTCCAATAATCTTTAATAAAGGTAAAATCCAAATAAACTCCTCTACCTCTGCCTGCTTTGAGATGAGTGTGAAATTCATTAACTTGGAGATCCTGCAACTGAGGTACATAGTATTCTTCTCCCACTACCTTGCTGTAGAAAATACCTCCTATATGAGGATTTGATGATAAACCTTCTTAGGGTTCTTTAAAGGCATTTGAAGACCATTTTAGTAAAATCCCTGACTGTTCACTGGGACCTGCAGATGTCAAATAGGTAACTAAAAGAAAGAATTGAGAAGCTTGCCTCTTGGCCTTCTGGTACTATCTCTCTTCTTTGATGCCTGAAAATGTTGATTCAGGTTTCTGTTCAACTCTGCAGGTAAACATATTCATTCTTTCTCAAGTGGTTCATCGGGAACTAAAATACAAGGTCAATTTGACCTGAATTTACCTAACTTACCTCCTCCCATGAAGGCTGAATACAGCAAGACAAAGTGAACTAGGACAAACTAATCCAGGCCTTGGGAGTGGCCCTAGAAATCTCTAGTCATCTGTCCTTCCTGCCCACTCCCCACCTGCTCCTTCCCCCCCCACACACACACACAGACTGTCAGGCACTTCTGCACACTAGGCTCCCTGTGGTAGCTTTGCTGGTCAGAGCCTCCCACCTTCTTTGCCTTCCAAGCTGTTCAAACAAATCTTTGTCCTTTCCAAGAAACTGGCCTCAAAATCATGGTCTGTTTGTGAAGTAAATGAATCTGGTTCAGTGAAAGTTCTGTTTACAATTAGTGATGACTTTCCTTCTTTAAGAACTTTCCAAGTTTTTAATTATTATCTAAGCTTTGTGTAGTTTTCTCTGTTTGTCTTGCAGCTGTGATGTCCAGGATGTGAGCAGAGGTTCTCATTGCAACATTCACTGTTAATTCAGGCTCCACACACACCTATTTACTATGCCCAGTCTCCCAATATGAGGACCTAAGAGGTGGTGCCATGCGGAATGTCTTCTTTATGCAATTTTCTGGCAGTGCCTCCAATGGCATTTATTTTAGCTAATATTAAACAAGCAACAAAATATTTTTCTGGGTGACATGGATAGGTCAGTTCTTTAGGCTGCCTACAACAATTATTATAGTCTTATATTCTCTCCCCCACCCCATTATTTCTGGCTTTATTTATCTCCAACTGAATAATTTGCATCTCACTGTTGAGAAAAAAAAAAACAAACGATATCCCAATTTCTCCAAATTCTGATGCTTCAAACAGAAAGATATTACTATGAAACCTATACAACTAAAGTTAGAAACAAGTAAAAACAACAAAAATCATCAAAAATTAAGATGATATTCAGAGGAATGCCAA